TTTATTATTTATGACAACATGATTCATTGAAAATATCAACTATTCTTTCCTAAAGAGTTTATTATCTTATTATACAATAGAACAAGGAAAAAAACGCTTTTCTGGAAAAATTACTTAGCGTGCTCGGGTTTTCAAAATTTTTTTTATTTCTACGAAAGTACTCGGTCACCAGACTCCAGAAAAATTATTGGCGAAAGTCGAACAATTTTTGCCGCTCGCCCGTTTTAAAATTTCGACCGTTTTCGAGAAAAACGATCGCTGACGTCAGCGTTTTACGACTTAAGGTTTGAAATTTTCATCAGACCCGCCCAATGACATTCCTGAGATATAATAAAAAAATCAATTCAATCCGTTCATTTTTTATCGTTTTACGAGCTTTTTTTTTTAAGTCCACGCGCATGGTTTTTACATGCGCAGTGATTCATTTCTGTTCATACGNCCACGCGCATGGTTTTTACATGCGCAGTGATTCATTTCTGTTCATACGTTTATTCTGAACCTTAATTATATGATGTAATATGTATTTTTATTAGGACACTATTTTTCATTTGCACATAGCACTATATTTTATCGAGAAATATTGTATGTCATATATAAATTTCAAGACGGTTATAATTATTGACACGACTTACGTCGCAAAAATGTGGTCGGCACTGGTTTGGAGGGTAGAGACCCGTAGGCCGTTTATTAAATGAGCGACAACAGATTATTTTAACAAACCGAAAAGATAAACACAGTAATAATAATCTTCGCATAATATCGCGGCACTTTCGCTGGTGTCGACGACGCGATGTCCGGCGTGATCCTCGGGCGTCAAAAGGTTAGCAGCGTTGTAGACGACGGTGCGCTGGTGCGGTTCGGTTGGTCGACGTTGTCGCTTTCACAACGGGAGGAAGACTCAGCGTATCATTTGCGGCGGGCCGTCGTCGGCCGTGCGGCACTTGCTGGACTTTGCACCGTGGCGTATGGCACGCGGTGTTGGTCAGTCAAATACTCATAAAATAGGGCGACGGCTGATAAAGGTGGCACGAGTCGCGGGGCATTGTGCATAACGAAGCGACCGCGGGCCGTGTCATTGTATAAGTTTGTACTTTCGTTATCAGAACATTACATTATTAATAATCTTTTTTTTCTCATATATGATTTATGAGTCTACGAGTTTATCGTTTAAATTGGGATTCATCTATGATAACTATGCTGTCCAACGTTAAATCGCAGTTACCAATATTTTTATCAAAATTAAATTTTTTACATAGTCCCACGTATAATAACCTGTTGAATTTTTTTTTAATTATTTTATAATATAAACACAATTATTATAATTAGAATATTAATAATTTTTGTGTATACCAGGGATGTATTTAAGGGAGATATGGGCCCCCCTTGAACCAGCGCTATCAATATTTTTTTAGGCAACTTCTAATAAATAAGGACCTAATGTCCTTTTTTTCAATCATTACTTTGATTTTTAGCAAAAAAAATTTTATAGCATGTTTAACAGAGTAAAAAATATTAAATATCCTCCTAAAATAATTTTTGAATAGGCCTAAAGGGAATACCTCATTAACAAATGTCAACCTTATACCCAATTCATTTTACTGTATTCTCTTTTGGAATTTTCCTGATTTTAATAATAACATTTTTAATATATTTTTGTTACACTGATTCTTATGTAATAATTTTTCTGTAAAACACTTATCGTGCCCAGGTACCCCTACCGGAATCAGTGGCTTACTTATGATGACGGCTCGTAGGGCTCCGGGTTTGGGGCGGAGGCCCAGCTAGACGGAGCGTAGTATAGATTATAGATTTTTAAAATAACTAATATTGATTAAAAAATAAAAATATATTTAAAGTATTAACTTAAAATAAAAATATTTGTCTTAAAATGCCATCACGATAACACGTATGTAGTATGTCATCTACTTTCTGCATATTTTAAGTATGGCGCTTCTATTTGNGTCATCTACTTTCTGCATATTTTAAGTATGGCGCTTCTATTTGTGTATTTCGGTTTGATATTATCGTCAAGTTATGTCGAATTAATGAAACCCGACACTCCGTTCAAAAATGACTCTAATCTTAAACTTTCTGAGAAGACAGTGAAACAGTGAAAACATTAAATCTTATTTCAAAAGTATTATGAATAATATTACATTAATATTTATCTATCTTATATTTTCTAATAACTTGGCATTGGCTAAAAAACAAAAATTTAAGGCTTTAAATTATTTGAGTTGGATAAACTGAAAGCTAAAATAACAATTTATTTTATTATTGGTGAATGTTATACAACTTCAAATAGTAGCGGTATGATGTATCAAGTCCATGTCGATGTCATTGAATGGGTAATAAATAAATATGATCGCGACATCAATATTTTGATAGCTGAAGATTTTAATTTGCCACGATCGCATTTTATTAATGTTAGTACTAGCCAAGCAGTCGATGGTGTGGAATCCCCACAAGTTAATATTTTATTTGATTTCTTTTCTTCTAATAATTTCTGGCAATTAATTAACAAAACTAAATTTTCGAGGTCTGTTGTGTTGGATTTAATATGATTTAATAATTCCCACGTGTATGTTGATGTAATTCCAATTATATTAGTTCCTATTGATTCCTATCATCGATAAAAATTAAGTTGGGAAAGTTTAATTTGCGTGTAAAAATGATTATTTTGAATCCCTCCTGTGGTCAGATCAAGAGTCAGATTTTCAAAAAATGTTTATCAAATAAAAGAAAATAACATTAAGTATTTAAAAAAAAAATTTATTGATCTATACATTTTTCAAAAAGTTATTTTTATGTTTGTTATCACTTTTTCTCAGCTCTCATAGAACCGATTTCTTTCAACAATACGTCAAAAGATCACAAATCGTGTCTAGTAAAGATATTTCCCTCAAAATTTTTAAAAATTTCCCTAGTTCCCTATAAATGGGGGAAATCTCCAAAAAATTACAAATTTAAAAATCGGTACTTTTCGACATTTATTAATTTTTTTTCTAAAACTGCCATAATTTTATGAATATTGTATGAATCAATACAATTTATTTTTTTAATAGATATATTAGGTATTTACCTATCATTTGGTATGTTTTATATTTTTAACTTTATATTTCTATAATATTTTGAAAGTAGTAGTTTTTAAAGTTGACTTTTGATAATGATCTGGAAATACTGACACTTTTATAAACATCTTAAATTAAAGCTTATGTAATATACTTTAATATGAAAAAAAAAATTTGGGACTTTACTTTTTTAGTGTGAAATAATATTTAATTAATCTTTATTCATTATAAAAATTAATTCTTAAAAAAAAATCAATACGAAATTTCGGGAGCATGTAGTGGCAGTCTTTAACACATAAAATGTATGGAAATATGTTGTAACTTTGAGATAAAAATTATTCATTAATTTACAAAATTTGTTACTCTTTTTTACTACTTTGAAGTAAAATTCAATTGTATATTAAAAATATCATTATTACGTATGATCATTTTTGGATCATTTCTAACAGTGAATGACTGAAAAGCTTAAATTTTATTTTATAAAAATCAAAAGTACAAGAGAAACACCAAATAAATGCAACACAATTTTACAACTTCTTACATTTATTTATTACAAAGTAATAGATAAATGAAGTTTATCTATTCATAACTAAATTTAAATATTTTTAAAATAATAAAATCAACGGGCGCCATTCCAGATTTTACATTTTCAAAATATTCTTGCATATTACTAACATACAACTTTAACTGAATCGATGATTGCAGAAACGACATGAGTCAATTTTTTAAAACTTTTGGATAATTGATAAAAAGTGTATAATTTAAATAATTCTGAAAAATATTCTTATTTAAAAATGAATACTTGTAGAAATATATCAAGCACTTATTATACATAATTTGTGTACATAAATAATATGATGTTTTTTTATTATTGGCTTTCAAAGTTTTTTGACCCATGACGTTTTTCCATTCAATGTAAATATACCAAACAAAAAAATGTTTTAATGTATAGAAAATTACTTTATTTTAGATTATAAGTTCACATTATCACAATATTAAATTAATAAATTATTAATACATAGAAAATTACTTTATTTTAGTCACATTATCACAATAATTAATTAATAAATTATTGATACATAAAAAATTATTTTATAATTTTCCATAAACTCTGAATTTATTTTTCAATTATTGGCCAGTTCAAAACTTCATTCCAAAACGAATTATTTATTTTAGAAGGAGCTATGTAAGATGCTGATTTTTTTATATCTTTCATTTTATTTGAATTTATTGGTAAAATATCTTTATAATTTTCTTTTGGTAGTTCAATTTGATTTGTTCCGGGTAGTGTTAACCAGAAAGTATGTTGATTGGTGCTTTTAATAATTTCACTAGTTGTTACCATTCCCCTCTTATAAATGTAGTGGTGAAAAAATGATACATTTAAACATACTTTTTTGTCACGTGGAACTGATCTTTTTGAAGATTCTACCGAATTGCATGTTTTCTTATAATATTTATTCCACCATGATTTAAAATCAAAAATGTCTGAATGTGTTATAAGTTGGACTTTGAACTTGTTTTTATTACTAGACTGAATAATTAACTTGAGATATTCACGTAATGTATAAATTCTATCAATTTTTCTTAAAGTACGTTTTATCACACCAAAATCTCTATCACAATCTAAGAAAGAATGCCCTCGTATAGGAAAATAATGTTCTACTACTTCGAACCGACCCGTATCAACTAAAGCTTGACAAAATCGCACAACAGTATTATTTTTATTTTGTCCAGGACAATTGTCAGAAAATAACCTTAATTCTTTCACTTCTGATGGAACACATTGTTGAATATATGTAAGCAAAAATGTACACACTTCATTAGGACCTTTATACGCTTCGCCTTCGTGATATAAAAAAAACATTGAATCTTCTGATTTCATATTATGAATTCCAAACAAATTAATTGTAAGCTGGCGAAGGTAAAAAAGATCTTGTACGGGTATTTTAGGGAGTTGTAAGTTTTGCATGTAATCAAATGTGAGGCATAAAAGATCATTACGTATTTTACATTCATCCCTAGAATTTTTCTGTATAGTATAAAACTGTTTGGCTTGACGTTTATGAACTATCATTTCTGCAATAGCAGTTTTTTTTGCAGTTTCGTTTAAAGATTTATTTTTTATTTTGTTGGATAAATCTTCACATTTACAGCATGTGTCGACTTGTGGTCTACCAAAAGATAAATTGAAATTCTCTCTAAAGTATTTATTGTAATATTCATATTTAATATTCGAAGTAGGATATTTGGTTAAAAAACATTCATGCATTTTTTTAACAGTTAAGTCACAACTTAAATAACAAAATTCTTTTCCTGAATAATGACTTTGCTTTACAGGAAAACTAGATATATGATCATACATAAGTTTCAACTCAGAAGGTTGGATAGCATTGTTGCTTTTTGATTTTCCTCTTTTATCATTAGGCGTCAATCCTTTTACAAGATTTTCTCTAATAGTTCGTACACGTCTTTCCGTTACACCATATATTTTGAGAAACGCACTTTTGCACACTTTTTTCCGATCAGATCCCAACAAACAATAATACTTAAAACTGTGTTCTAATAAAATTGCATTTTCATTGCGAGGTCTATGAGTTTTACAATGTTCTTTTATTATTAACCCTTGAAGAAATAAATCCTGTTCATTTTTACTGGGAATTTTATAAAAATGTCCAAATACGAATTTCTTATCAATTTCACTTAAATTACATTTCATTGAACAGTTGCATAGTGTTTCAGCTATTTTCTTAGCTGGGATTAATTTATTTTTATAATTGATATGTTCCTTGCCTTCAATTTTAGCAGTTTTAATAACATTTCTCGAATAAGATGATTCATTTCTAATACCTCTCTTACGAATTGGTGTACTATTCTCCATAATTAAATAATTACGAATTCACTAAAAATAATGTACTTAAAGACGTATCACTGTAGAACAACCTAACTAAACTGAACATTGAAATATCTACCTACGAAATGAGAAAATAATTTTTTTGTAATCTATTTATGTAATTAAATATTTAGGTCCTATTCAATCATAAAATTACTGATTTAAAAATAGACACGTGTAAGCGTTTATTTACTGTTGAGTGTAGAAACGACACAAGTCAATGACTAAAGACGTTTTTGCTCTCAACCATATCTTTAAATAGTAATCCAATGGGTAAAAACGTTATGACTGAAGCGGTTTTTCCACTCAACACATAAAAATAGATGACTAGCATGTGTTTTTGCTAATATCTAAATTTCACAAAAAATGTGACTCGTGTCGTTTTTGCAATCATCGATTCAACTGCTCTTCTACTTTTAAATGGTCAAATGGATGTTTTGTTGAATTGTTATTTATTAAGTCATTATAATTAAGATAAGCAATTTTCAAAGTATGTGCTTGTATGTTGAAAGATTTTATGACTCTACTGGTATACATTATTAATGTTTCCTGGTTAATTATTTTATCATTTTTCATGTCATCTACGAAACCTATGAATGGTTTTCTAAACAATTGGTCTGAAAATACACCTATTTCAGTTATTATGTTTAATGGGATTTTAAATAAATTCAAAAAATCTTCTCTGTTAAAATCTTTTGAAAAGCAATTTACTAGATAAGTACTATGTAGAGTCAAATAATAATAAGTTACTAGTAACAAATTTTTCTTTATAACGTCAGTATATAACCACAATTCAAAATATTTTCTTTTCCAGTTTTTGCACACGCTCTTATATGTCTCTGATATATAAGTTTCATTATACATTGGAAATATTCTTTTGGGAGGAATGAATTTCTTATAACCATCAGTATTATTCCAAAAAAAGCTATAAATATTTAATACGTCTTCATACTGATAAATTTCATTAAACGTCTCAGGATAAGAATTGGAATACAATTTTAATTGTTTTGATATTTCGTATATTGTATTAAGATCAGGATAATCTTTATATGTTCTAGGAAAATTTTTTAAATTATTTTTGTAAAAGCATATTTTACAAAAGTCGAAAATATTTGAGATATAATAAAAGTTAACTTCTCTAGGTGATATTTTTCGTTCAATCAATGCATTTATAGTAATTGATGTGAACCAAATGCCTTTTGTAGAAAAACCTATTATATAGTAATACATCGATAGCATGCGATTTAAAATTACCCTGAATACCTCTAGCACATCATAATTTATATTAAATTTATCTACCATGACAAATTTGATGTAGTACATTATATAAAGTGAAAGTTCTGTGTTCTTGCATCCTAATTTCCATATTTTATCTTTAAGGTTTCTGTCTCTAAAAATCAAAAATAATTCATCCTTTTCATTTTGTTTTAAAAGTTCTTGAAGTTTTTTATCTGTAAGTAAATTGTCAGCTGGTCCAAAAATATCATTTACAAGTGTTAAAAAATGTGCATTTTTTTCACATTGCTATTATAAAAAAAAAGATATATGTATACATTTATTCATAATGTAATAAATTAATATAATATAATATTATTCTCTGAAATACATATTGTTTTATTTATTTAGCGAGAGCATATCTAATGATAATCACTTTAAAGTAGAATCATTTAGAAAATAAGAGGTATTCTTAAAATTTTTTATTTAGTTAATTTTAATATTAATTTTATCTTTAATGCAAAGTTTAGAAGGTATTATTTTCGATATAACTTTTGAAAAAACTCCGAGCTTCAAACGTTAAAATAAAGCATATGTTGCATAATACAAGTTCAAAAAAAAAAAATTGTCCCTTCGATTTATCACCTATGTGCAA